TGGAGTGGAGGAGCGCGCTGCCGCGAGCAAAGGAGGGAGGGAAGGGAGGAAGAGAGGGAGGCGGGCAGGCAAGCAGGCGGGGGGGGGGGGGGGGGGGGGGGGGGGACAGGTTGGGGGCGGGGGACCGGAGAGGGGAGGAGGGGGGTCGCTGCGGTGGTTCTCTCGCTGTCGCCCTCTCCTTGCCTCTCTCCCGGTTTGGTGGGTTCCTCCCGACGTCTCCCTCGCCTCCGGGGCCCCGCTCCCGCCCCCCGCGGTATGTCTTGATCCCGAGCAGCGGGTTTCATGGGGCTCCTCAGGATTATGATGCCGCCCAAGTTGCAGCTGCTGGCGGTGGTGGCCTTCGCGGTGGCGATGCTCTTCTTGGAGAACCAGATCCAGAAACTGGAGGAGTCCCGGTCGAAGCTAGGTAAGGAGTCAAGCCACTCCGGACTGAGTACAGTGTGGAAAGAGGCTGCAGGGTAGGCATTACCACCTGGAGCAAGTGGGCGTTCTTCTAACCTGGGATCTGGTTCCCGGGCAGAAAGAGGCTTGCTTCTAAGGGAGCTGGGACTGGTGTGTGTGTGTGTGTGTGTGTGTGTGTGGAGGGGAGGTGATCAAGAGCACAAGCTCCGAGAATGGGGTGAATAGAGATTGACTGGCATGCTGGGCTCGCGAGGTCACGGGGCAGAGATTGCAAGCTTGGGCTTCCTGGAAGGGTCGTCGCGAAGTAGGCGTTCCACGAAGAGAGCTGGAGAATACCGAACTCGGTGAGGAGCGGGTACTGCTGGAGGAGGAAGGCTGAAACGCTCAACCTCGCGTGTTCTCCCAGAAGTCGTACGGAAAGCCCTGGCAGTGTCAGGCGAGGAGTGTTCTAATTTGAGATAAAGGCACCTGGATGGATACGCAGTCTTTGGGGATGGTGGAGGAGGGTGGGGACTCACCGAGGGGACAGATGCGCAGAAATGGAATGAGATGCCGGGAATGATGGGGAGTAAAAGAAAGACACTGTAGTGAGTCGCACTCTTGTGCTGGGGGCAGCTAGGGACCTTACAGCTGACGGTAGAGGTAGGCTGTCTAGGTAGAACAGAACAGCAGGAGGAAGCTTCGGCGGAGTGCAGAAACGAGGCATCCGGGGATTTAAATTCTTTTAGTAGTGCAAAACTGATTGATTTGGGCTTCAGAATAGAGATTACATATATACACGTTGTTTCTTGGCAGTGTGATGTAGTGAATGTAAAAGAGGAGGGCAAGAAAGGGGCGTTAGTGAGGTTTCCGTTTGTGAAAGGGAAAGATTATGTGAAAAGTTAACCCTGTGGTTAAGTACCTTAAAAAGTTGACAGTAGTTTAATGGGTGATGAAGTCTAAAGTACAGAACGTTGCAGGGTGAAACTGCTAAAGACCAGAAAAAAGTACACAGGTGATAGGTACTTTGGGATTTAGCAGGGAACTTTGGCATTTGAAACAGCTTCAGACGGACAAGGGACTGTTAAAAGAATGATTGATAAATTTTATTTAAAAGTGTACATTGCACTTTAAAAATCAACTCGAGTCTGTAATTTGAATATGGAAAAGTAATGTGAAATATTTTTGCATATGCTTTTATCTCAGAATAACTTTAAGTACCCTCCGAGATGCCGGCAAAAAAAATAATAAAAATAAAAACCTTCAGCAATATAACTTAGACCAAGAAGGAACTGTGGGAAACAGCTAGATACTGCTGTGGGTGATAATTCATTTTTAGGGAAAAAAAAGCACCAGGAAATAATTGTAATATTACACATCATAGCTGACTGTTTCTGATTCTGATCGACTGCAAAAGCTTTGACATTTTAAAGAGCAACGCATCTAATAAATCGGATTAACCGCAACTGAAATTGTGAGAGGAGCTAAAGATATTCCCAGTTCTCAACTCTAGGGTAAAATTTGAAGAGATAACTAATTTATATACTATGATCTTATTAATTATGTGTCTGATACAGTGGAAACAATTGTTAAATTTAAATTGAAAGTTGGCCAATGTGCCTTTTCTTTTTCTTTGAATTCTTTTAGCAGCATTCAGGGTCATAGTCTGATATCATTAATAATCGAGCTTTAAAGGGAAAAAAGACTTCTCTTACAGGAAGTTGCAATTTATATTAAAATGTGTACTTTGTTGTATTGCTGTTTCAGATTCTCTGGAGTTGATTTTCAACACATATTTAGAATGATTTAAATTTTTGATGTTCCTTCTTGCCTAACATCTTTTCCTCTAATACTGGGAAGTCATTCCCACAGGCACAACCTGAATGATTTTTTAAAACGTTATCTGAGGGTGTAGAACACCGCAGGTAGGATATAACATGCTTTCTTGTGATTTTTTTCCCCCCAAGGATGAAAATTCCATCAGAAATAATATGCATTGCAATCTAAAAAATGATATAAGAGGGGCCAGCAGGTGACATGGATGGTTAAAGGTGCTGGACTCCTACATAGCTGACCATGGTTCAAATCTGAGACCTGGACGCTTGCTTTCTCACTTTCTCTCTCGCTCTTGCTCTCTCCCTCTCTGGTCAAATTAAAATAAATAAAGTTAGGTTTAAAAAAAAGATATAAGAAAAGGAGTTCTAAACACAAAACACTCGAAATATTTTACATCTGGAAATGCAAAAATGTGACAAATAAAATGTGTAACTTTTTATCAGCAGGCTTTAGAATTTTTAAAAATAATCAAGTTGGGTATGCCTTATCTGAAACGTTTCTCACTAGAAGCGTTTCAGATTCTCAATTTTTCAGATTTTGGCATATTTGCATATGATGAGTTATCTTGGGGATGAGACTCAAGTCTAAACACAGAATTTATGTTTCACCTATACCTTATAGCCTGAAGGTAATTTTATCTACTATTTTTGTATTACGCCGTTTATCTGCCACCTGTCGCATGAGGTCAGGTGTGATATTTTCTACTTGCAGCAGCAGGTCATTACTCAGAAATTTTGGCTTTTGGAGCACTAAGAATTTTTGATTTTCTGATCAGGGATGCCCACTTTGTACTGAGAGATCCAGTTAGTAATCTTAGCCTTTAGGAAAGAAAGGCAAAAAAGGCATATTTTAACAATCCGTCTTTGCAGTAGATACTTTTCATCTGTGATACTCTTATTTAATCTTCCAAGACATCTTTGAAAGTCATTTTTGCAGCTGCAGGAATAGGCTGAGAGGTTATATAACTTGCCTAAGTCCATCTCACTAGCAAGTGGCAGGAGCCAGTATTGGAACCCAGGTGTGCCTGATTCCAAATCAAGTATTTCTTTACACTAGGCACAAGACTTTATATTGACATTACTCTGAGATTTAGCTGTTAAAATAGGGTTTTAATATTGTAATAATAGGGACCAGCAGATGACATAATGGTTATATTGCTGGACTACCACGTAGTCAACAACTGTTCGAGTCCTGGACCTGGCAGCTTAAGACTTAACACTGGGCATGTGTGTCTGCACCCAAAAGCTTGACAGGAGAATGGAGGAAAAGGGATTGCAGCATGTCCAGCCCACCCAGAGGGTGATTTCTTGCTTTCTGTCTCCCGTGAGGGCACCGAAAAAGTTAAATAAATAAATAAAAATTGGAGTAACAATGTTTTATTGCATTTATTGTTAACAATGAATATCATTCTGAGACGATTCAATTTCTGACATAAAGGAATTGGTTTAGTGTAGTGTCTACCTCTTGATTATATCCATATAACGAACATAAGTGTGTTATCCAGTAAAACAATGAAACAGATAGTTTGTTTCTGCTATAGGAGGAAAAGATCTGTGATTTCAATAGGCATAAAATCGCAACATTAAAAAGCATTTTTATTTTGGTATCAAAAAACTATAACATTTTGCCCTTATTATTCATTATCTTTGCCATTGAGGAAGATTTCAAAGGATGTATTATCTGATAATGCCTTTACTGTAGAATATTGATTTGAGAATATTTTGATAGTGAGACTGCTAATAAAGCAGTAAATGTGTTAGAAACTAAAGAATATTTGGGCCAGCAGGTGGTGTGGTGGTTAAGGCACTGGATCTTATTTGACTGACTGCGTGTTCTGTGTCCTGGACCTGGCGGCTTGAAAAAGCCATGCTGGGCATATGTGCACGGATGCACAAAATCCTGAGAGGAGATTGTAGGAGAAGGGATTCCTATGTGGCCACTCCAAATTGGGGGGAGGGAAATTTCCTCATTTTCTCTCTCTTTTCTTCCCCTTCCCCTTGTCTCTCCAGTGATTGCATGTGCCCTATGCCAAAAAACTAAAAACCAACCAAATAAACCCAAAACTTAAGATGTATGCATTAACCACTTGGAAATAAGGTAAATAAATAGGAATTCATAAAACACCCAATTTTACCCAAAGCAGTTTTATTTCTTTTTTTGAGACAAATGAGGATCATGGTGTACATATTACTTTAGTGCTTGCTTTTTTTCATTTAATATCAATGGCATTCTTTCCAGATGTGGATATAAATTTGACTTATTCTAATAGCTGTATAATATTCTGAAGTATGCATGTATTTATGCAAGTATAAATTATTCGACCACGATGCCAATTTTCAGTTTGTCCCGTTAGCCCTTCCCTTTTTACTAACCATTTCTTTTCTTTGTATTAGATATTATAAACAATGATACAAAAAACATTCTTATATATAGTCTTTAAATTTTTATGGATTCATGTCATTTTCACTAGGATGAATTCTCTAGGGTTATTGAGACCAGGAGTATGTATACACACACACACTCACGTTAAAATTTGTTACTTAAAAATTATTTTTTCTAAAAGGTTACAGTAATCTGTAGTACCAACACACATAGAAGCACTGAAAGCTATCAGGTTTTAATTTTTGGTAGCTCGAAGTCAAGTGGCATGTTATTAATGTACTTTTCCCCAGTTTCTAGTTACCTGTGTTTAGTACATCTTTACAAGTATTTATTGTGCTTTTTACTTGCTAGTTAATTTTCATTTGTCTATTTTCCTATTGCATAGTTCACTAATTTTTAGGTTTTTTTCTTAATGTTAAAATTAATAATCCTTTTCAGTCATGTAAGTTGCATCTATTTTTCTCCTGCTCTGTCACTTGTCTCTTGACTTTAATAGTATGTTTTGCTTATACAGAGGTCTTAAAGTTTATAGTTGTATCTATCAGGTTAGGCCAGAAGTTTCATATGTTGCTTAAGATGTTCCTTGTTTGCATTCTCAGTGTTTTATTGTGGTATTTTATAGTGTTTTAGAAAGTACTTAGCTGTATAATAAATTCACATGTTGATAGAAATTTATTGTGGTTTCAGTGAATAGCCATTTATGGCAAATATGAGTAAATAATCCATTTTTCCTACCATCTGTTAACAGTCCTTTCATCATATATTGTTTTTGTATGTTCTTAGATTGATTTTGGACTTTATTCTTTT